GGGGGCTCCGCCGGCGGCGGGAGGGGAGCCCGGCCGAGGGCAGGGGCAGCCTAGCTGTAGCCCGGGGCGTCGCTGCGGATCCTGCTCTGCCTCTCGCCCGCGGACTCTGGGAGCGACGGGGGTCCTGAGGCGACTGGGGCTGAGGGGCGTTAGCCGCCGGGGCGGAAAGAGGTCGCTGTAGGAATGATGGGCGTCATTGCCAAAACCTGTGACAAACCGGGGGTGGAGGAACGAGGCGAGGGGGCACTTGTGAAAAACTGAGCTGCAGGAGGTGAGTGCAGTTAAAAAGGCTGTTGCCGGGGGGTGGGCGTAAGGACAGGTTTTCACGACTCTCTCTTGCCGCAAGCAAATTGTTTCTTTTCCGTGGTAAGAAAAAACTTAGTTTACTGACACTGGGGTCTGCACACATCCTGCAGGCAATGAGTAATGACGAAACGAAATCTCTTAATGGAGGCTTTGCACAGTAGGATAATCACTCCCCGCCTGATACACACAGGTTACAAAGCACTGCCCTGAAGAGCTGACCCAGCTCATCTGGATGCTGTCGCCAAAGTTTGAATAATTAGGGGCTTCCAGCCGCTTCCCCTTCCCCCACACCCGTTGCAGCCCCTAATTAATGACAAGAGCCACGGGGAGGGATGCGAGCGGAGTCACTTTGCGTGACAGAGTTGGGACTAGACGTTTCTCTGTCTTTCTTGGGGGGAGGCTTTTGAACGCGAGTCAAGGTCGAAGGAATCCATCCCCCGAGGGGTGCTGGCACGCTGCCCCATCGGTACTGCCCCCAAAACGCCCATCGCTTCGCTGGGGGCCTCTTCACCCGGGAAGCGAGCGATAACGCTCCGGCCAGGAGCCGCTTTTATGTGCCAACAGCAAAAAGTGACACCTCCTCCCCCCGACAAAGCTGGTACCCGAGGGGGCGCAGGGCCCACCCGGGCGGGGCTCATCCCGCTGCCCTGCGAGGAGGCGCTGGAAGGGCTGCGGGGTGTTAGGTGCGAGCCTGTGGGGTGGTTCCCCGCAGCTTAGTTGGCAAGCAAAAAGTGACACCTCCTCCCCCCGACAAAGCTGGTACCCGAGGGGGCGCAGGGCCCACCCGGGCGGGGCTCATCCCGCTGCCCTGCGAGGAGGCGCTGGAAGGGCTGCGGGGTGTTAGGTGCGAGCCTGTGGGGTGGTTCCCCGCAGCACTCGGCAGCTCTGCCCTGGGCCCTGCCGGCTCCGCGCTAGGTGTGCGGCTCCCTCGGGAGGCGGCGGGCTGCCCCCCCGCAGCCGGCGGGCCCTTTCCCTCTGCGCCCGACAAGGACACGCGTGGAGACGGCGCGCAGAGCCCCTTCCCCGTCGGACCCCTCCAGCAGCCCCTCGCGTGTTTTGTGCGGTGTAGGGTGCCGCCCGCAAGTCTGAAACGAAGTTTGCACTGCGGGAAAAGCATCTAGGTTTCAGTTCCCGGTTTCTGTGCTGGACCGAGTTCAGACACGTCCAACAGCGGCGGCGGCCGGGAACTTATCAAGAAAAGATTAAAGGATGCTCCAGTTTTGAGCCGCTCGCCCAGCTTTAACTACGCACAGCTAGACGTTGAATGCGCTGCTCGAGCTAACCACTTTAAAGGTTGTTGTGCACTGGCCAGTTGGGACCCAGCGATTACTTAGATCATGGAGAAATACAAGAAACCCACATCCTCTCTGGTGACATTCACAAAAAATGAGCAAGCGGCTTCTGGGCAGCAGGAATCCCCCTTCCTCCCGCTCCGCCGGGCTTCGGCCTCGACGGTGCCCACTAGCGTCCGCGGCCCGCACGCCCTCGCTACCCGAAGCAGCCGTCCTCCCTCCTCCCC